AAAAAAAAAAAAAAAAAAAAAAAAGTAAAATTTAAGCCTAAATAAATAAATAAATAATAAAAATAAAAATCAAGCCAGGCACAGTAACTGTGCTTATAATCTCAGCTATTCAGGAGTCTGAGGCAGGAGGATTGCAAGTTTAAAGCCAGCCTGGGCAACACAGCAAGAACTTGTCTCAAAAAATATAAAGGGCTGGTGGTATGGCTCCATGGTAGCTGCTTGCCTAGCATGTATAAGGCCCAGGATTCGTCTCCAATACCACCCCCCACAAAAATCACGTGAAATTTCTAGAGGTTAAAAACACAACAGTCACTAAATGGGAATGGCAGCAAATCAGTATAGAACAATGAACTGAGGAAGCAATCAATGTGAACGCAGGGATAAAAACTGACGCTGGAGTTTTACTGCTCCCGCCAAGGCTAACTGGCAGCAGCTTTGCCCCTGGGAAAGGACCCAAGCCTCCTGATTATCATGGTGGCCACAGCACAGGAGAATTTGCTGGTCTACAATGTTCCTCCTTCTTAAAAACAAAAAATACTTTTTTTTTTTCAAGGAAAACCAGACATTGATATTCTGTTATTTATACATGTAAAAAAGATACCTACATCTGGAAGATGGTGTACAAGAGCTAGAACAGTTGAGTAGGGGAATGGGGCGGGTGAGATGGGGGAGAACAGTGAGCAGCAGGAAGCCATGAGCAAGAGTGGTGGAATCAGAGCAAGGACAACTGTGTCAAAATAACAGAAAACCAATAAAAGTCATCCAGTCCCCCGCAAGAGCTCCAGTCGTGCACAAAACCAGAAGCACATGACCCTGGCCTGTATCCAGCCTCCTTTGTAGAGTAGTTCTGACCACCCTGTGGGCTTTGGACACTATGATACTGTCTCTAAAAACCTTGTATGGTCAGAACTGCCCCTCTTAGTGGGTGGGCTGAGTCAGCCAGGTGAACCCTGTCCACCCCCAACTGTGGATCCACCCATAATGCTAGGACTAACAGGAGCATCGTGGCAGGTAAAATACACCACGACTGTACTTTTCTAATGAAAATATGTACTGTAGCATAATGGTAGCCGGTTGTGCATCCCGGTAGCTGTGCTGGGGGAACACAGGGAGCAATCTTTGTGTTCACCCACTTGGTATGATGAGCGGCCAGGTGTGTGCATGTGTGTCAAAGTGTACATGGGTGAATTTTACCCACATTATTCATTGTGTGTATATAATTTTTCACTACATGCTTTCTTTTGATTTTTCTTGTAGAATTGGCTCAATTCAATACAACATTGCATGAAAATCTGCTTCTATAACTTCAGGGGGAGGTTGAAAGTGAGTCATCAGGTGATTCAACTACCTATGATGACTTGGATCATGTAAGCCAAAGAAGTTAGCAAGCTATGGCAGAGAAGTACAGAAGGAAGGCTTTGATTCAATTGAGGAAGAAAACAGTAATGTAAATAAATATTCCACTAGGCAAGATGCTACAAAATGGTCACTTATACCTGAATGAACCAATGCTAGAACTGATAAGTCACAAGGCTACTCACCCACTCCCTCGGGGGATTTAAGCTCTTTTATTATGGAGTTAATAAAAACTCCTTCCTCTTCACCTGTTCCCCTCCAGTTCCCCTCGACAAAAGCCAACCCTGCCTTCGTCCGCCTTGGCAGAACCAGATGTTCAACTCTGACGAACGACACCCCCTGCTCGGGCTGTTCTGAACCACAGACACCCCCTGCTTGGGCTGTTCTGACCCACGGACAACCCCCTCTGGAAAATGTTCTGGCCTGCGGACACCCTCCCCGGAAAATAGCTTAAAAACCCCACACTTTTTTCAACTCGGGGCAGTCCTAGTCTGCTGAGCAGCCTGCCATGTCACTCTCCTGCCCAATAAAGATTCCTCTCGTGTCGGAAGGTCTGGTCTGGTCCTGTGTGGGTCTTGGCCCGATCATATCAAGAACTAGATCAAAAAATGTTATTAGAGTCTTGCCGGGGGTGCAACCTATTGGATGGAATGCCAACACTGCTATTCAATGTTGGAGATGGTTTGTAATGGACAATATGCTGCAAGATGCTTTGAAACACACTAATAATGAAATACAAGTAAAATATTCTATATGCATTAACAGTAAAACTCAAAAATATATTTAGCATGGCATCTCACCATCTGAACGAAAAGCCTTCAGAGCAGGACTTTTATCATTCTAATTGTCAGATCCTACAGTATTTATGGAGAAGTGACAGATGAGGCATTGAGATTTTTAGAGTAATAATGACACTTGAGAGATTTGATTTCTTTCAGAATTGCCTGCGTTTTGATGAAGAAAAGACCCACCAAGAAAGAAAAATAAATAAATAAAAAATAAATTAAAAATTTAAAATGATCTGGGCGTGGTGGCACACTCCTGTAATCCCAGCACTTGGGAGGCTGAGACAGAAGGATCATTGCAATTTTGAGACCAACCTGGGGTACAAAGTGAGCTCAAGGCCAGCCTGAACTGCATAGTGAGACTCTGACTCAAAAAGACAAAAAAAGAAAAAAGAAAAATTGACAATTTGGCTGCTACTCACTCATTTTTTGAAGGTTTTGTTTTGAACTGTCAAGCGATGCATACCCTGTCTGAACACATGACAACTGACAAACAACGGGCATCATTTCATGGTTGTCAAAGGTTTCAGCAGTATATGCCGAGTAAAACTTCCAAATATGGTATAAAAAATACATGCCCTGGTAGATGCAAAGACATTTTACACCTTGAAATTAGAAATTTATCCTGGAATTCAGCCACCAGGTCTTTATTCCTGCAGTAATAAACCATATGAGGTTGTGAACAGACTTCTGGCACCTATTTCAAAAAGTAACCGAAATGTCACATTTAACAATTGGTTCACAAGTTACACTGATGTTATATTTACTAACACCAGCACCAGAACTATTGGCAAGAACAAAGTAGAGATTCCTGAAAAAATGTTGCAAATTCACAGTAGAGAAATGTATAGTACAATCTTTAGACTTCAGTAAGACCCAAGATTGTCCTCCTATATGGTGAAGAAAAACAAAGTAAAAATAAATAAATAAATAAAAAGAAAAATTGATACTGTCAATATTACACCATGATGATAAGATTGACAGTGAAGTCAAGGGTGGTAGTGCGTGCCTATAATTCTAGTATCTGGGGGCTGAGGCAGGAGGATTCTATGAGGTCAAGGTCAGCCAGTGCTATGCAGTGAGTTCAAGGCTAGCCTGGACTATGGAGTGAGACCCTGTTTCAGGACAACAAACAGGGGCAACCCACTTGGGCCCCCTTCTGTTCCTCTCTCAGACAGAATCTTTCTTTCCCCCAATAAATATATTCTACTCTTAACCTCTGTTGTTCCTAAAATCCATGCTTCGATTTTAGAGAACACGAACTCGTCCTAAATATTCTTTAGGTTGGGAGTTTTTTTCCCCTGTATCATTCAGAGTTCCCCACCAAGATTGTTGGATGGAGACTTAAAGCTACACACCTACCCAGGATGAAAATGCCCAGTGTCTATGGAGGGTCTTTAGGTAGACCCTCTGGTGAGTATCTCTGACTGCCAATCAACAACTGTGACCCCTTTCAGCCTGAAGAAGGCAGAGCACTCATCATCCATTACTCCCTCACAGCAGCTTGGGTTATTTCTTCAGAGGGGGGAATGTTATAGGCAGCTGAGTTAGATAGACATATCAAAAATATTATAGGCAGTCAGACAGGGCCAGGCCCTTGAAAGAGCCAGTGTAGAAGATGAGATGCCTTGTAACTATGGGGGAGATAGACACCTGTAGCTGTGGACAAAAGATTAAACTGATGCACCCACATACTTCCCTAGGGATGGACCTCAGGGATGGATATTTTAAATAGGTAGCAATCACCTTGAAAAATCCAGGAAGAGTCACTAACCCAGCCCCCTACAGGAAAAGCCCTTGTTCTATATTCATGTCCGCTTGCTACGTGACTCGCTTCCTCATTTGACCCTGATTTAATCAATTTTACCTGAACAGTTATACTTGTGATCTTATTGGCTGACCATAGTCTTGTCCCACCCCATGCCCACCTAGCGAGTTCCCATGTTTCCCATCTTGGATCTGCCTCACCTTGTGGTTTTGCTCTGTAAAAGCCCCTAGAAAAGACAGGTTCCTGGGCAACCCACTTAGGGACCCCTTCTGTCCCTCTCTCAGACAGAAGTTTTCTTTCCCCCAATAAATATATTCTGCTCTTTAAAAAACAAACAAACAAAAAAAGATTGATAGTGAATCTTCAACACAAATGAAGCCAGATATGGTCACATTTTACAACTAAAGACAGAGTAGATGTTGTTGAATGAGCTGTATAGCAGCTATGATGTTGCTCAAAACACACAGTAAGGGCTGATGGTTATGTTTTACTGGATCCTAAACATGACAGTCATAAATAGTTTCAGACTTTACAAAGAAAATAACATGCACAAAATATCACTGAGAAATTTTCTTAGAGGATTGGGACTGGAACTGATAAAATGATCAATTACACAGAGCAAGAACAATTGGTATCTACCCAAAGAACTCCGCAAAAGAATTCTGGAGCAGATCAGTGAGAGGACAGATGAAACGTCACAAGAACCTCCTAAGAAAACAGGAAGACCAGCAAGATGTCAAGTATGTCCTACCCAAGAAGACAGAAGCTGGGTTGGTGGCGCACACCTGTAATCTCAGCACTTGGGAGGCTGAGGCAGGAGGATCACTGTAAGTTTGAGACCATCCTGGGCTACAAGGTGAGCTCAAGTCCAGCCTGAACTGCATAGCAAGACCCTGTCTCAAAAAAACAACCAAAAAAAAAAAAAAAAACAACCCAAAAAATGACCAGAAAACAAAACACAAGTGCTATCAGAGTCAGTGATATTTGTGTATATATCAGTAACAGTAACACACTGTTCTCATGTGTGAAAACTGCCCTAGGTGTGATAATTAAAGTAAAGATTATTTCTGTAAAGAAAAAGAAAGATTATTTCTGTGGTAGAGTTTTATTTGTATTCTCATTGTAATTCCTATAGGAATTTGTTTCTGTTGTTATTTTGTAGATTAAGTAAGCAAACAGTTGATGTAGAAAATGTTGATGTTTATCCTAAACACTCATTGCATATTTGATATTTTATTTTATTGGTATTTCATTTCCCTGTAAGGTTTGCACTGTATTATATAATAGGAAGCTCCTGACAAAAAAGGAAGAAAAGAGAGGTGACAAGTATGGCCTGCCGAACAGGAAAAGAAAGCGAAGCACATGTACTGTCAGTGTAGTGAGACTCGTGTGTGGAACGTACTGTTGTCCCGTGTGAAGACTGTCTTAGGTGTGATCATTGAAACAAAGATTATTTCTGTGGTAGAATTTTGTTTGTCTTTTCATTGGACTTCACATTGGAATTTACTTCTGCTGTTATATTTTAAATCTTGTAAGCAGGTAAACAGTTGATGTTGAAAATGTTGATGTTTATTCTACACTCTCATTACATATTAAAAACTTTTATTTTATTGATACTTATTTTCCTGGTAGCTACACATTGTTTAACATAATAAAACTCATCAAAAAAAATTAACAATTCATCAGTAGAAATATTGCTAGAAAATAAACATGGAGATTACACACACCCATAATGCACTTTTTCTAAAAATTTACCGTGAGGCCCCTAGACCCCTAGCACAGTGCTGCCCCTATGGGGCCATGAGCTCTTCTCACTGACGGTTCCCACCCTGTGGAGTATATTTTTACTTCTTTCACTTTCAGTAAATCTTACTCTATGACCCCTACTGAGTGTCCTGCTCAATTCTTTGTTTGAGACATCAAGAACCTGGAAACAACTCTCAAGATCCCCTGACCGATAACAATGGGGTTTAAGCAATTGTTGTGTGGAATATTCTAGAATAGTTTTCGTAAAAGTGTAAAGTACAAACATGAGCCCTAAGTGTGTGTGTGTATAGTGTAGTGTAGTATAATGTAGTGTAGTGTAATAATGCAACATAATGAGGACAATAAGGGCCATGAGTTTGAAATAAAGGCATTTATTTCCACTGAATCCCAAGGTTTGCCCACCCCTCTGGACTCTGATGGGTCAGACTCTGGGACCTCTCCCTCCCTCGCACTCCTTCCTTCTCTCTTCCTCTTTCTTCCTTGTCTCACTCTCTCTCCCTCCCTTTTTCTTCCTTCTTCCTCCCTCTCCTCCCCGCCCCTCCTCTCTCTTCCCCTCCTCCCCCCTCCCTCCCCCACCCCTGGCTGTCCCCACCCTGTGGAGTGTATTTTCACCTCTTTCCCTTTCAATAACTCTACTCTGTGACTCCTACTGCGTGTCCTGCTCGGTTCCGTCTTCTAGCAGACCTACTTAGGTAAATAAATGAGGTCCCCACTGGAACTGAGCCAAAGTACGAAGTCAGAGGGATGCTATTTCCCTCCAATCCTAAATACAGGCAAGCTCCGCTGCCTTTCTTCTGCCGCTTGAAACTCTAACCATCCTCCCTGGTTGCACTCGCTGAAGTGTGTATCTTTCTTTTCTAACAACCCTTGCTGAGGGTGGAGCCCAGGGACCGGCACAGGCCAGGCAAGTACTCCGCCACTGAGCCACTTCCCCGGTCCTCTTTTCTTTTGTCTTTTTGAGACAGGGTCTCACTATGCAGTTCAGGCTGTCCTTGATTTCACTTTGTAGCCCAGGCTGGTCTCAAACTTGTAACAATTCTCCCGCCTCAGCCTCCTGAGTGCTGGGATGACAAGCATGCACTACTACGCCCAGCCTCAGAAGTCTTTATTTTGAGACACCATCTCACTAAGTTGCCAAATTGCCTGGGCTACTTAGGAACTTGCAATCCTCCTGCCTCAGCCTCCCGAGTACCTGATATCACAGGCATGCGCCATCACACCCAGCTTCCAACAGACTCATGTCTTAGAAGAAAAGAGCCAGCAGCCTTTTTGCTCAAACTGTCTCCTGTCCCAGCATGCATGCCTTGCACAACACAGGGCATCTGGCAGTTGGCCAGTCTCGTCTGTTGGACACACACCCATCCAAAGTGCCAGATGTCATGGACACACAACCTCCCTGAGTCTCCAGTGCCCTTCCTCACACTGCCTGTGCTCCTGCTGAGGCTCAGAGGGTCCCTGGGGTTGGCTGTCTATAGATTCTCCCTGCAGAAGAGGGGGTGGCTGGCATGTTCACAAAGGCGAGATATACCAGTAGCTGGGGAGACACCCACCTGGGAGTTGTTGGTAGAGGCTCAAGTGGAATAAATGTGTCAAACTTCTTCTGGTATGGCACTCTGAAAACCAGAAAGACACACTGACGTCACTCTGGCCATGCCAGAATAGATATCGATCGGTACATCACTGGGTTATTTGCAAAAAAAAGTCTCATTTCTTGGTTTTAATTTTCAAGTATGGTCTTTTAAACTGCAAGGGTCATAATTTGTATTGCTTTTTATTATTTTTCATTAAAATCATTATATCACATATGGTTTGTTTGTAAAATATTTTAAGTACAATATTTATTCATTTATTGTGTGTTTATTTTTTTGTGTGGCCCTGGGATTGAACCCAGGGCATTCACAATGAGCTACATCCCCAACACTTTTTATTTTTTATTTTGAGACATGGCCTCACTAAGTTGCTCATTTTCCCTGAAGAGACTCAAACTTGTGATCCTCCTGCCACAGCCTCCCAGAGTGCTAGAATTACAGGCATGTGCTACCATGCCTAGCTTCTCTTCTAATTTAATGATCTTCTCACATTCCCTCAATCACTTGATCTCAATTTAAGTCAACTAATCTCTCTCTCTGTCTCTCTCTGTCTCTCTCTGTCTCTCTCTCTGTCTCTCTCTCTCTGTCTCTCTCTCTCTCTGAAACAGGCCTCAATGTGTAGTTCAGACTGGTCTTGAACTCATTACAGAGCCCAAACTGGCCTCAAACTCACAGTGATCCTCCTACCTCAGCCTCCCAAGTGCTGGGATTACAGGTGTGCACCACCACACCTGGCTATAATCACTATCTGATTCACCATGAAAATTCAAGTCTTCAAGTTTGTGGTAATAGAAATAGGAAAAAATTAACAGCCACCTTTTGGTAGTCAAGACCTTGCATATCATTGCATACACATATTGATATGTCCCACTGTCTCCCATAAACGTGTAAAATTACCAGGTGTCAAAAATAGGAATATATTTTAAAATCTCATGTCCTTTTAATTTGAATCACATTCACCTGTGTACACACACTAATTAAAGATGAACTTTTTAAGTTTTTACCTACTTATGTCTTGTTACAATCCACCCCTTTTAAAATACAATTTACGGGCTGAGGATTTAGCTCAGTGGCACAGCACCTGCCTGGCAAGCGCAAGGCCATGAGTTTGATTCCCGGTACCGGAAAAAAACCAAAATAAATAAATAAATAAAATATAATTTATACACACACAAAAACAGTTCCTTTAAAGCTAAAGAAAGGGCGGGCGATATAGCTCTATAGCACAAGTGCCTGTCTGGCGAGTGCAAGGTCCTGAGTCCGATTCCCAGTACCAAAAAATAAAAAACTTAAATAAATAAATAAATAAATCTAAAGCAATAACCCTGGAATTAGCGTGTACTCACAAAGAAAAATTCACTGGCGGCAGAGTAGACCCTGCGTGGTAGAAGCCTTTACTCTGTTCCGGGGACATATATGGATTGTCCCCTGGGGCGGACTTTGGGATTCCATTCCTGGGATCGATATCTGTAGAAAACATTTGAAAACAGCATCACACAAAGAGCTGAAGGTGATCTGCAAATTAAGAGTTCCCTGGAAGGGTCTTCAAATCCTCTGTGTGATTTCTCGCAACTTGAGACAAAGCTCAGAGGGGAGCCAAGATGGGACATTTTCTAAAAGGCTTTCTTATGATCACCTCCCCCTGGGAAGGCACAGGCTTGGTTTCAGATGGGGTTTCCCTTTAACACACATGGTGCAGGAAAGGGGTCTGTGAAACAATTCCAGAGGTAGCTGACCTGACTACTGAGTGTCCTGCGCTCATGCTGTAAGGACAGGGCACCAAGCATTCTTTGAATAATAACCCAGTGAAGGGCCATCCTCCTGCCTCAGCTTCCCAGGGTGCTGGGATCACAGATGTACACCACCATGCCTGACTTAAAAAAAAAAAAAAAAAAATCTTTCTCTTTCAAATGTCTTTCAGGAGTTTGGGGCCAGCCTGGGTGATATAGTGAGCCCAAGGCCAGCCTGACCTGTGCAGCAGGACCCTGTCTCAAGTACTCGCTTCAACAACACATATACTAAAAAACACCCTGTCTCAAAGAAACCAAGAAACAGAGATAGAGACACAGACACAGAGACAATAAATAAATATTCCAAAGCGGGGGGTGGGGGTGGGGTGGGGATAAAAAGCTAGCTCGAGGAAACGAGGATGTGGGTAAGTGGCACAGCCCTTGCCGGGCAAGGCCTTGGATGCAATCAATCCATAGTCTAGAAAAAAAAAATTTTAATAAGTTAAAATCAATCAATGAGAAAAAGAAAGAAGAAAAGGAAGGAAGAGCTGTCTGCTGCATCTTGAGCGAGGTTTACTCCCAGCCCCCAAAACAACAAGTAACACAGCCAGGTTGAGGCAAGACTATTGCTGTGAGTTCAAGGCCAGAATAAAATACATAGTGAGACCCTGTCCCCTGCCAAAGAACAAAAAACAAAACCAAACAACAAACAAAGACTTTGCAACAGCTAAAATTCTGTGTCTAGACTCCTGATTAGCTCTGTGTTCAGTGGAACGGCTCCGACTGCCTTGAGCACTGGCTGAGGACGCAAAGGAGGACCGGATCTTCTGAATCCCAAACTCCGGCTTGGACAGGTGAGGGTCAGGTGACAGTGAGCGGAGCTGGGAAGGATTTAGACCTCAAGGCAGCCACACCTGAGTGCAAACTGAACTCTCTAATTTCTGGCTCTGTGCCCTTGAGCTATTTAACCTCCCTCAGCCTTGGTAGCTTTATTTGTAAACTGCTTATTTGGAATGTCGCTTTTACAGAGCTCTCCTAAGTAATGAAAATGGTGTGAGCACATAAGTGGGGCTTAAGAAATGGTAGCAATCAATAAATATAATACACCACATTAGCAGAACCAAGGACAAAAACCACACGGTTATCTCAATAGATGCAGAAAATGCATTCAACAAAGGTCAACACCCATTCATGTATAAAAAAGAAAACCTACAGAAAAATGGAATACATGGTCTTTATCTCAATCTGATAAAAACCACCTATGACAAACCAACAGCCAATGTCATACTAAGTGGTCAAAACCTGAAAGCTTTTGCTCTAAAGTCAGGAGCAAGACAAGGATGTGCACTATCACCACTCTTGTTCAATATAGTTCTGGAAACATTAGCCAGGGCAATTAAACAAGAGGAAAAAAAATAAAAGGGACATGGATAGGAAAGGAAAAAATTAAACTATCATTTACTGATGACATGATACTCTACATAGAAGACCCTAAAAACTCCACCCAAAGACTCCTAGAATTAATAACCAAATTCAGCAGCCTAGCAGGACACAAAGTGAACAATCGAAAATCAACAGTAGGCGGACATGGTGGCGCACACCTGTAATCCCAGCACTCAGGAGGGTGAGGCTGGAGGATCATTGCAAGTTCCAGGCCAGCCTGGGCTACAAAGTGAGCTCAACCAGCCTGAACTACATAGCGAGACCGTGTCTCAAAAAGACAGAAAAATAAATAAATATAAAAACAGAAGCAATCTGTTGGAAGATACAGTAAGTAAAACTCTTGAAGATAGGTATAGGCAAAGACTTTGTGAACAAAACCCCGATTGCACAGGAAATACCACCAGAAAACGAACAGCAGGGATCACGTCAAATTAAAAAGCTTTTACACAGCAAATGAAAGCACCAATAGAGTAAAGAGATAACCCACAGAATGGGAAAAAAATTTTACCAGCTACTCCTCAGACAAAGGACTAACATCTAGAATATATAAAGAACTCAAAAAAAAAAAAATAGTAAGACCATACAAATTTAAAGACCCAACCCAAAAATGGGCATCTGAATTGAATACACGTCTCAGGTGAAAAAGTACAAACAACAAATAAATATATGAAAAAATGTTTAACATCACTGGTCATTTGAGAGATGCACATTAAAACAAGATGAGATTCTATCTCACTCCAAAAAGAATGGCTATCAAGAAACCAACCAAGGCCAGGGATATAGCTCAGTGGCTGGGGATATAGCTTGCCTGCTTGGCAAGTGCAAGGTCCTGAGTTCAATTCCCGGTACAGAAAAAAGAAAAGAAAAAAGAAACCAACCAGTAACAAATGCTGGTGGGGCTGTGGGGGGAAAGGAGCCCTTCTCCACAGCTAGTGGGAGTGTAAATTGGTACAACCACCATGGAAATCAGTGTGGAGATTCCACAAAACACTAAAACTAGACATTCCATTTGACCTAGCTGTTCTCCTAGATATCTTCCTGAAAGAGTTAAAAACACCATACCGCAGTGATATATGCATGTCTGTGTTTATAGCAGCATGATTTATAATAGCTACATCTTGGAAACAGCCCATATTCCCATCAAAAGATGAATGGGTAAAGAAAATGCGGTGTTTATATACAATGGAGTACAAGTCTGCCATAAAGAAGAATAAACTTGAGTCATTGTAGGAAAATGGATGCACCTCGAGGCTATAATCGTAAATGAATCAGACGCACAAGCTTAAATAGCACATGGTTTCTCTTGTGTGAGAAACCCCAGGGATAAATAAGGAGCAGAATGGAGGACAGATATTGGGAAGTAGGAAGGAAATGTTCAAATGAGAAGAGGAACAAGGGAGAGGGAAGCGGGAATTAAAGGAAGGGGAAAAGTTAAAAAAAAAAAAAGGGAAGGAAAAAATGGAAATAAAGCTTTTGTAACTGAGGAGGGGAAGAAGGGTTGAAGAAAGAGGAGGGGTGGGGAAAAAGAATTAAAATACATGATGTAGGGGCTGGGGATTTAGCTCAGTGGCACAGCGCCTGCATGGCAAGTGCAAGGTCATGAGTTCAATTCCCGGTACCGGAGAAAAACCAAAAACAAAACAAAACATAAAATACATGATGTACAGGTACAAATTCCCCACGATGAATGAGATCTATGTGTATGACAAATACATCTACTAATAAAAGATAAAGTTTTTAAAAAATAATAAACTTAGCCCAGAGAAACAACAGCAAGAAAAAGAAATGGTGGCAGTTATTATTCTTTAAAAGCAAGACTGGAGTAATAACTTCCCCATCACAATGTTTTTCATCTGAGAAATCCAGTTGTCATTCAGCTAAGGTAGAATCTTCTCTTTTGAGAATCTTATCTAACTGGGGAACAAGATAAGGACATAAGCAATACTATAGGGCAGTAAGTGTCACACATTACAGAACTGTGGCTCTGAGGATTATCTAAGAGCTTGTTAAAAATGCAATATCCTGCGCTGGGGATATAGCTCAGTGGCACAAGTGCCTGCCTGGCAAGCATAAAGTCCTGAGTTTGATTCCCAGTACCACCCTCCAAAAAATGTAATGTCCTAGCTGGGTGTGGTGGTATATGCCTGTCTTCCCAGCACTCTGGGAGGCTGAGGCAGAAGGGTTGCAAGTTGAAGCCCATCCTGAGCAATTTAGTGACTTAACAAGACCCTGTCTCAAAATTATAAATACAAAAGCAAGTAATTTCCTGGCTTTAACTGGAGAAATTCTGTTTCAGAAGATCTGGAGTGTTTCCCAGAACCAGAATATTGTTTGCAAATCCTCTGGTTGACTATGATGTAGGCAATCTGAGGACAATGCTTAGAAGACACTATCATAAAAGATCTCACAAGAGAGCATCAGCAAGTAGAGAAAGGGCCAATGGCCTAGATATAAGTATGTTACTTTTCAGGGAACATCTCCCAAATGATGCTTCTGAGATTACACATTTGTGTTAGCTATTAAGTATAATATGGGGCCTTAGTGTAATTTCCAAATATTCCACAAAAAACAGGTGTCAGCCCAGAGCACTAGCCCATGCCTACGCACAGCCAATGGCCCCTGACACTTCCAGTCGGTTCCATGCTTGTTAAATTCTCAGACCATCCATAGGCCTGGTATTCAGATGTCCAGGGGGTGAAACATGAGACATTCACTATATAGCCTCTTCCGCCCCAGGCTTTCACACCCCAGTGCACTTAGGCTGAGCCTCCTTCTGATCAGTGTGCTATGGGCAGACACAACATGGGTCAATTCCAAGATTTGGCATTTTTGACGAGCTCACATATGACAGCCCAGCACTTCCTACCCTGATGTGGCAACCTTAAAAGCCACCTGTAAGATGTGGAAAAGCCACAAGGTGGAAACAGAGGGATCCTCAAATCACTACCGGGCAGGGAGCCCAGGACAGCTGCTGGATCCACAGAGAACTTTACAGGAGGAAAAAGCAAATTTTAATAATTAAGCTGCTGAGCTTTCAAGGGATGTTTGTTACTGCAGCAGAATCTATCCTATTCTGACTAATACAACATGCCATATGCTAGGAAAAGCTGTACAAATGAAAATTTGTATTTCCAGGCCTATTCCCTACAACCTATAGACACCATATATTCTTTCTTCTGTGGCAACCATTGGGCCTGTAGGAAATTACACCAACAGCCTCATCATGGCTTATGAGCTAAGACAACATTATTTAAATATATTCTGGCTGATTTTTTTTCCCTATGATAAACGTGTTGTGTCGCAGTTTAAAATGACAGCTAGAGGGCAGTTCCAGCCATCCCTCTGCATCCAGTCCAAGAAATAACAGAGGAGGAGAGAAGTCCACAGAGGAGGATGTGTCCTGTGTGGGGTTTAGGAGTATCAAGCGCAGCAGTGAACTCATGGGGGATAGGAGGTGGAAAGAGCATTGTGTCTGCGGTGATGAGAAGCCACTGCACATTGTCACCTGAGAAGTGACCGCTTGAAACACAGATCTTGGGTACCCTACTCCCACTTACAGCAGAGGGGAACCTGTTAAGTGGCCTGGGAGGTCATTGGCAAAGTCCTCATTATGGTAAACCCTCCGGGATGAATGGTCTCATTTCACCACCAAACTGCACAGAAACCATGGGGTGTCAGCCGGGCGTGGTGGCCCACACCTGTAATCCCAGCACTCGGAGGCTGAAGCAGAAAGATCGTTGTGAGTTCAAGACCAGCCTGGGCTACAAAGTGAGCTCAAAGCCAGCCTGAACTGCATATTGAGACTCTGTCTCAAAAAGACAAAATAAATAAATAAATATAAAAATTTATCTAATAAATTTTTTTCCTTTTTAAATAAATGTGCCCAGTGCTTCTGGTATTCTATTGTGTGTATTTAACAAATATTTCATAAATAAGGCCTTGCTGTGACTTGGTATTTATACAACTATAAATGGAAGGAAAGAAGGAATGGAGGAAGGAAGATAGAAAAAGGTAAGAAGGGAGATAGAAGCTGGGCGTGGTGGTACATGCCTGTAATCCCAGCACTAGGGAGGCTGAGGCAGGAGGATCATTGTGAGTTCGAGAGCAGCCTGAGCTACAAAGTGAGCTCAAGGCCAGCCTGAACTGCATAGCGAGGCCTTGTCGCAAAAAGACAAAAAAAAAAAAGAAGGGAGATAGGAAAAGGAAGGGAGGAAAGAGGAAGAAAAGAAAGAAGAAAGGAAGAAGGGAAGGAAAGGGAAAGGAATGGAAGGGGAAGGGAGGGGAGGGGAGGGGAGGGAAGGGGCAAGAAAGAAAAAAACAAAATTTGTGAGCTAGGAGGGTAGTGGCAGGTTAGGCTTGGACCCCATGATAACCTCATTTCCTTTTGCTACATGGGTGCAACTCAGGAGCTGGCAGCAGGTAGGACCCTCTGAGCTCTGTCTGTGCCCCATCCCAGCTCACATGAGCTTCTTCACCATGCAAGCAACAAGAAGCCTCAAGTGTCAAAACAATTCACCTCTGCCCTAAGTGTAAAAATCTATCTTAAAACTCAGAAATGGGAACTTTATACTTCTTTCTCTTTGTGCTCCTAGCAATCTCTTCCATCCTCTTGCCTGAGGGTTTCTGGAAAATAGTGGGCCATGAATGGTGTGCTGGCATTCAGCAGCCTCTTTGGGTCTTTCATAAAGTCAGGTATGGGTAAGTTGGGCACCAACTTAAAAACCAAAGAGATACCCATATATATTAGATATACAATGTTTTCATTTCTTTTGTTGTTGTTGTTGTCTTTTTGAGACAGGGTCTTCCTATGCAGTTCAGGCTGGCCTTGAGCTCACTTTGTAGCCCAGGCTGGTCTCAAATTCGCAGTGATCCTCCTGCCTCAGCTTCCCAAGTGCTGGGATGACAGGCATGTGCCACTACACCTGGCTTTATACAGTGTTTGATCTCAACTGCTTTTAATTAAATCAGCTACAAAATAGCAACATGCACTTCAGGCTAAGGTTTACAGGATGTTATCCTTGTGGAAAATAGAAAATACACTTCAAATGCATATATCACAGGCAGCACCTAATGAAACATAACCATTTTCTTCAGACTTCAGTGAGAATTCTATTAATAACAATCTGAAGGAACTTCTCTGATCACTTCAATGTCATATTAGCATTTTATGAAATTTTGAGAAAAAGCAAAAGTGTAGATCACTTTGCCAAAACGCATCCCCCGCCAACAAGCCCCTAGCTTTCCCGGCTGGCGAAGGTGACAGCCATGGGACCCGCAGGCGGGCCCACACAAAGGAAACCTAGGAGGACAGCGTTACCGTATCTCTTCCTCCCGAGGCGCTTGTCTACCGTCCACTCAGACACAGACCTCCTGTTGCCCAGGAAGACCCCATTGAAGAAGCACTGCTTCCCGACATGGTAGGTGTGGATATTGCTGCTGAACCTTGGGTAAAACGTCCACTCGGGTCGCTGCCCATCTTCTGCAAGACATCAGAGATCCACCATGTAGCACAGTGCCCAGGACTGGGGGCCAGTGGAGGGCGAACCCTGTGAGCACTCCCCGGGCACTATCCAGCAATACAGCTTAACAATGTGTGGGATCCCTTCAAGCTACAAGGTGTGGTCAAAATATACAGTGTGTGTTTACATCTTGTTATTTAAAACTTGATTACAGTAAAAGACACATTGCCATGAACCCCCCTCAAAATTGTCCCCCTCCCTTGCTTTGAGCACACTTATCCCATTGTTCTTGCCACTTTCTGAGGCAGCTCTGGAAATCCTGTCTGTGTCGTTAGTTGTGTTGTCCTGGCTGCCTCCGTGTTGAGAATCCATTAAAAAGGTTTATCTTTCATGGTCATTTTAACTTTGAAGGAGCTCCAGAAGTCACACGGTTCAGAGCCGGTAGTTAAGGTGGGTAAAGACACACTGGGATGTTTTTATGAGCCTGCTTTTCCACCCATGGCACTAGGCAGCAGCATTCACCTATATTCATGATATTTTTTAATCATACTTCAGAAAGACACTCATGAAAGAAGAATTCCAGAACTGCTTCAGAAAGTGGCCAGAATGATGGGATAAGCCTGTTCAAAGTAAGGGGAAATACTCTGAGGAGAAGTCATAGCAATGTGTCTTTGTTTTTTGAGACAGAGTTTTGCTTCACAGTTTAGGCTGCCCTTGAACTCACTTTGTAGCCCAGGCCAACCTTGAACTCACAGCGATCCTTCTGCGTCAGCCTCTGAAGTTCTAGGATTACAGGTGTGTGCCCCTTACACCCGGCTAGCAATGTGTTCTTTACTGTGATAAATTTTTTTAAATGTGCATTCACAGTATATTTGTTCACACCTCATACATCAGAAGCCAAGTCAATCACTAGGCACAAAAGGACAGGGAAGCTACCTAACAGACTTCATATTTATTTCCTTTCTACCCTCTTCTTCAAAAATAAAGCTTAGAAGTTATGTCCAGGAAGCATAAAGCCAGGCTCATAAGCACCTATGATCCAAACTGTGATACCCTCTGATCAACGTGTAGACAAAATAGAAAGCCCATCTGGCAGGGAAAGGTGAGGCCAACTGTGTATCCCAGCTGGATAGGACAAGTGTTGGCACCTGTGTGCCACAGGGACACATACATGCGTAAAGCTGCCGAGTGACAAGGACCTCAGGCCGGCAAGTGGACCTTGGTGCCTATGTTGTCATTTGATACTTTTCTTGCAAAATAGCCAACAGTGACTTTAAACAGTAAAGGATTCCCACAGCCCTCGGGTGGCTTGAGCAACATCAGGGCCTGGGGCGGCCAAGAAAGAACACAGGCTTTGGAAGCCAGTGAGTTTGGGTTCGAATCCCATTGCTCTGCTTCCTGGCTGTGTGCATCTGTGTGGTGACTGTTTCCGTGCCTCAGTGTCCCTCTCTGTGAAATGGTTATGTCTGTAGTAACCTCATAGACCTAATACACTAACAGGGAAAGAGGCCATGGTCTATTTACTGTTTGTTCATTTTGTTTTTTTATCTTTTTGAGACAGGGTCTCACTATGCAGTTCAGGCTGGCCTTGAGCTCACTTTGCAGCCCAGGCTGGTCTCGAACTCACAATGATCCTCCTGCCTCAGCCTCCTGAGTACTGAGATTACAGGTGTGTGCCACCATGCCCGGCCTGGTCTATTTACTGTTGAGTGAGAATGGTTTGTGTACTCTGACCTCTTGACTTCATATGTGTGTGTGCATTGCATAACAATTGGAGAAAAGTGTCATTAGGATCCCCACTGTTGTGTGACTATCAAGGCATATGTTTACACAAACCAGATGACACAGATCATTCGCTGCACGTGGCCTCTGAATATGAGCTATGCAGTTTTGTGATCTAAATTAAATAGTCATAGCTTGAATATGAGATACACAAGCCAACTGCCAGCAGAACAAACAGACTCTCTGACAACAAAGCTTTCTTTAATATGTAGGAGGGCTAGCTGGGTGTGGTGGTGCATGCCTGTAATCCCAGAACTCAGGAGACTAAAACAGGATGATCGCTGAGAGTTCGAGGCCAGCCTGGGCTACATAGTGAGTTCAAGGCCAGAACTACATAGCAGGACCCTTTCTCAAAAACAAAACAAAACAAAAATAAGTAGGAGAAATACACCCTAAAATAAAGGCTAGAAAGTACATTATCATACAGTGCACTGGGTATATAAACCAGTAACTCAGCCATCTGTCACCATGCATTAGGACTGCACCAACTATATGTGCTATACTTCCCACGCCTGGCAGCACAGTGGGCTTGCCACAGCCTCAGGGCAGCAGTGACGTCACTGGGCAACAGGAATTCTTCCTCTCCATGACAGCCCAACAGCACCATCATCCAACTGCCACCCACTATTGGCCAAAACATCATTACACAGCACCCGGCTATTTATGTCTATGTGTAGGCATAAACCCTGGAGAGGAAGGAGTCCTGTGCTTGGCACAGTGACTCCCGTGCTAGTGGCCCACAGAAGCAGAGCTGTGCAGGACCCCGACACGGAGGCACGTCAGGGCAGCTGTGACCACTCACTTGTCTGCAGCCTGACTAGGCTGAACTCTTCAGGCTGCTGAGCGTTGTGGACCTCCAGCACTAAGGCTTCCGGGGACTGATGGGAGTGTGAGGAGGAGGAGCAGGAGGAGCAGGAGGAGGAGGAGGACTTCCGGCTCGGCTGCACAGCGGTGCTGGAGAGAAAGCAGAGGGAACAGAGTCTTCAAGGGCTCCAGCAGGAAACTCAAATCTGAACTCACACATCCCACACTAGAGTCTCATGCATTCTCACATACAGAGTTCTGCCGACTACGCTACAAAAGCCCCCAAGGAGAGCTTCTAGTTATTCACAATTCAAGGGGGAAGTGAAACATATTCAAAAGATAGATACATGCTTTAAAATGTCTGAAGACAATTTAGTAGTTCTTCAAAAAGAGTAATAAAAATTAAACTTTTCTAGGGCTGGGGATGTAGCTCAGCAGCACAGCACCTGCCTGGCAAACGCAAGGTCCTGAGTTCAAGTCCCAGTTCCAAAAAAAAAATAAAAGAATTAAACTTTTCTAGAAATTCTAGAAAATTTCTTTCCTAGAAATTCTGCTTGGCCGGGCATGGTGGCACATGCCTGAAATCCCAGCACTCAGGAGGCTGAGGCAGGAGGATCATTGCAAGTTCGAGACCAGCTTAGGCTACAAAGTGAGTTCAAGGCCAACTTGAACTGCATAGTGAGACCCTGTCTCAAAAAAAGACAAAATAATTAATTAATTAATTTAAAAAATTTAAAAGACTGGGCTGGGGATTTAGCTCAGCGGCACAGCGCCTGCCTGGCAAGTGTGAGGTCATGAGTTTGATTCCCAGTACCAGAAAAAACAAACAAACAAACCAACAAACAAAGAAAAAGACCAGAAAGGAAAAAGAAAATAGATAGTGGTGAGGGTTACACAACATTACAAGTATAATTAAACTGGATAGAATGGCATATGTTACAATATATATATATTTTATCATGGTGTAAAAGAAAAAAAAGAATACACAGATATGCTACAACACAAATGACCCTGACAGCATTTTGCTAAGTGAAAGAAGCCAGACTCCAAAGGCCACATGCCGATGACTTCATTTACATGAAATGTCCAGAGCAGGCAGCTCCAGGTGGACCTTTATCTATGGTGGGGGAGAGAAGGGAGTGGAGGGTACAAGTTGCTTTAGGGGACAATGGAAATATCTTAAAATCAATGACAGTGATGGTCGAACAGCTCTGTGAATACACGAGCACCCCTGAGTTGTACGCTTGAACTGGAGACTGCGTGGTGTGAAGGCTGACTTTAGGTGTCAGCTTGGCTGGATTGAGGACCAACCAGAGAACTGGGAACGCGTGATTTCTGGGTACCTGTGACAGTGTTCCCACAGTGAGCGAGCAGGAGCAGGAAGATCCACCCCCCAAGGGTAAGTGGGTCTCATGCAGATGCTGGGGGTCCAGATAGGACCAAACAGGCAGAGAAGATGGGATCGCAAGGATCTCTCTCCCTCCCTCTCTGTCCTGGACCAGGAACTCCTCTCCTGCCTGACCTTGATGTTAGAACTCCAGGCTCTCTGGCCTTTGGACTCCAGGCCCTGCCGCTCTGGCTGCCTCCCAGACTCTCAGGTCTTCAGCCTCAGCCTGACAGTCACACCCTCAGCTTCTGGCTCTGAGGCCTTTGAACTTGGACTGAGCCTTGATACAGGAGTTTCCAGAATGATGTCAGCCAATGACTCTGACAAAGCGGGCACATATCTGAGTCTGTACCTATGGATATCCATGCCTACACCTATGTCCATAGATAGAGAGGTGATAGATAGATAGATAGATACATAGATAGATAGATAGGAATTCTATTGGTCCTGTCCCCCTGGAGAACCCTAATTAACACATATGCTATGTGAATTATGATTTAACACATTGTTACCCAAAAAAATGATACTTGTTCAATAAGACCATCAAATGCAAATTAAAAATCAACATGTATATAGAGAAGGGGAAGAAATAATCAAAAACAAAAAGAAGAAATAATCGAAAACAAATCTAGGCTAAAATGGTCATCATGCCAGGCATGGTGGTGTCCGCCTGTAATCCCAGCATTCAGGAGGCTGAGACAGGAAGATCATTGTGAGTTTAAGACCAGCCTGGGCTACAAAGTGAGCTCAAGGCCAGCCTGAGCTGCATAGTGAGACCCTGTCTCAAAAAAAAAGACAAATAAATAAATAATAAAATGGACATCATAACAAAGCATTATGTGTAGTATTGAACCTCCCAAAATGGAATTCACCCAAAACTTAGTTGAATGTAGTAGCACACATCTACAACTCCAGCTCCTCAGGAGGCTGAGGCTGGAGGAACTCCAGTTCCAGCCCAGCCTGGGCTACATAGTAAAATCGCATCTCATTAAAAAAACATAAACAGGTTTTACAAAAGAATAGTGTATGGGCCTCCACCAATGCAATGCATGAGGCCACAGCCACCAAGAACTTTGAATATGTCAGGGACAGCCCTCAGCAGACTCATGCAGGAAAGAATAGCTTGGAGGAAGGACCACCCATTTGGCTTTGTGGCTGTCCCTTCCAAGAATCCCAACAGTGCAATGAACCTCATGAACCAGGAACATGCCATCCCAGGAAAGAAAGGCGCTCCCTGAGAAGGAAGCTTCTTCGGGCTACAGATGCTTTTCAAAGATAATTACCCATCTTCACCAGCAAAATGCAAACTTGAGCCGCCACTCTTCCACCCAAGCGGGTACCACTCAGGCACAGCATGCCTGTCCACCCTGAAGGAGGACAGAGACTGGAGGCCAGCCATCACAATCAAGCAGGTCTTATTAGGAATATAGGAACTTCTGAATGAACCAAATATCCGAGACCCAGCTCAAGCAGAGGCCCACAAGATCTACTGCCAAATCAGAGCAGAATATGAGACAAAGGTTCAAGCACAAGCCAAGAAGTTTGCACTGTCATGAGCAGCGGCCCTGTGGCTCTGCAGAGAGGAAGGGGTTGGTCGGGCAAGAACTCGTTTACACCATTTGCAAATCTAGAGTCACTCAAATGGTCACTCATCGCCAGGGAGGGCTAGGCGGG